GGGCTGGGGGTGTGGGGAGCAGCTCCAGTAAAGTTTAGTAAACCCCAGGCCCCCAGCCCCTCCTTGAGCGGAGCCCAGGGCAGGCTGAGGGCCTGGGTCAAAACACTGCAACTGCGGAGGTCCCACCCGCCCAGGGCCCCACACAGGGGTCCCGGCTGGCGCCACACCAGGCCAGATGGCAGCTCGAGCTGGCCCTCCCTGCCTGCAGTATGCAAATTAGCCGCCATCTTGGTTGGCAGTTAATTTGCATATCGCCCTGATTAGCCAATGGGAAGTGTGTTGGAGGTCTGGTTAATTACCCTATATGTCTATTATTAGATAGGATAGGATGTTTTCACTGTCCTAAAAATCCTCTGTGCTCCTCCTATTCAACCCGTCCACACCCAACCCTAGGCAACCACTGATTCTTTTTCTGTCTTCCTAGTTTTGCCTTTTCTAGAATGTCATATAGTTTGAATCATATAGTATGTAGCCTTCTCAAATTTCCTTCATTCACTTAGTAATATGCATTAAGGCTCCTTCATGTCTTTTTGTGACTTAACAGCTAATTTCTTTTTAGTGCTAAATTATGTTCCATTGTCTTGTTGCACTCATTTATTTATCCATTTAACTGTTGAAGGACATTGGGTTATCTCCAAGATTCACTAATTATGAATCAAAGTTCTATAAACATTCATGTGCAATGCAGGCTTTTGTGTGGACATTAGTTTTCAACACCTTTGTGTAAATAACAGAGAGATTCCTGGATTGCTTGGTGAGAGCCTGTTTAGTTTTGTAAGAAATCTCTGAGCTGCCTTCCAAAGTAGCTGTACCATTTCGCATTCTCATCAGCATGTATGAGCGATCCTATTGCTCCACTTCCTCCTCAGCATTTGGTGTTGCCAGTGTTCTGGATTTTGGCCATTTAAATAGATGTGCAGTGAAAAGATCTTTTTTAACATAAGAAATAGCACTACTCCCCTACTCGAAGTCTCCTACTGCTTTCCCCTCACAGTTTAATTCAAATCCTTACCATAGCCTATTAGGAAAGTGACTGTATAGTTTATCTATCCAAACCAGGGACTTGTGAGACTAAAAGAGGCTTTAGGAATAATGGTACCAGAAAAAAAAATGACAGTGTCATTTCCTAACCCTTCCCCTGCTTTCTGAGCTCCAGCCACACTGGCCGCGTTGCTCTTTTTAATGGTTCCTGCATCAAGGCCTTTGCACTAGCCTTGTATATATTAAATATCTGGTGTGTGTCAGGCATTGTATCCGGGGATATAGTGAAGAACACAAAGTTCCTACTTTCATGGAGTTCACATTCTAAAAGACTCTCCTCCAGATTCTCACATGGCTCCCCCATCATCATTCAGATATTGGTTCAAATGCCATCTCCTTGAAAAGGTCTTCCCTGAATATCCCACCTACAGTAGCCTGCTCTCACCACCCATCAGCCTCCATCCCCTAACCCTGACTTACTGTTCTTCATTAGCGCCTGAAATCATATTGGTCAATTGTTTGTTTTCATGTCGTCTGTCTCTTCCTTAGAATGTAAGCTTTAAGAAGGCAAGGATTTGCCTGCCTTTGTCACTGCTACATCCCCAGCTCCCAGAACACTGCCCGAACCATCCGTATTTGTTTAATAAAGAAATAATGAACAATTCACTGGGGACATTGGGTTTACACAAGCCTTTCCCCTTGGGAATGTTTAACTATGTTTTCCAAGAGCATTAATAACCATGAATTCCCCAGAGGTATCTAAAGATAATACCACTATCACAACCATTTCTCTTAAAAAATATTTTCTCACACGTTCAGTTAATTTAAATGGCTTTTGTGTCAGCACTGAAAATTGGACTGCTCAAGGAGAAGTACAATCCACAGACAGTTCTGAACTTCCTTGGCATCACTAAAACCCAGACTGAAAATACTTGCATGAAAGAATTGATGAGTCTTTTCCTGGGGTCTTCTGTGGCATATTTATCCACCGCTCTCCTCACTAATATGCTGCCCTTTTTAAACTATGACAGAGGCACCTGAAAGGGAGCTTCGTCTCTCCTGAATGGCCTTAGTGCTCAAGTCGGGTGCCAGGGCTCCTGAGCGGTGTTTACACCTGTGGCCAAAGTCCAACTGGCCTGAGTTTTATAGGCGATTGCCTATGTGCTTCAGAAAGCTCCCTTAAATAAGCATGTGAGTGAGAATGAGCTATAATTATAAAATAATGAAAACAATTTTTCTGCAGAACTTATGGCTATCATTCTCATGAAGATTGCCTGGCTAGTCAAATGTTTTTCCTGCAGTCTGCCAAGTTTCTCAGAAATTTAATTAAAAATGGCTTTGATGGTGTGTATCCAAGGGAAACCAATTCCTGGCTTTAACTAAGGGAGAAATGAATACTTAAAGCAGGTTGCTATGATGGACCAGGAGAACACAAGAAGGGTTATGAGACATTGAACTGGCTTGCATGTCAAATCCAGTGGATGGCTTAAAGAATTCGTTGAGAAAGATGTTTCTTTGGCGCAGAGAATGTCATGGGAACATTTGATTCGACATTACTTTTTGAGAGGTGCATGTCAAGTACTCCTTGGAAAGCAATTGCTTGGACCCCTACAGTCATCCAGCTTTAAGCATCTTGTGATCTTTGTTTCAATTATAATAAATAACTTCTTAGAATGAATTTTATTCATACATTTCTGTCCTTTTCTTACCTGGTTCCCTGTGCTGTTCTTGGTGTTATTGCCCAGGAGTGCAATTATGTTTTGGTAGAAAAAATGCAGCTTGAACACGTTAAAATTCAACTTGAACACGTTACAATTTTCAATTAGCTGCGTGAACGTTCAGCTTAAAGACACTTACTTTATCTGAGGTTCAGTTTGTTTCACCATAAAATGAAGATAGTGATATCTACCTCTTGGGTTGCTCTGAGGAAAGAATATGATCACATGTGAGAGTATTTTCTGTGCAGTTTGGTATGATCAAGACAGAGACCACAGAGAGACAAGTAAGGAGCAAAATGCAAGCCCCCCTTCCCGAAAAAAAAATACCTCAGTAGTAAAGATAAATAATATTTTAATGTAATCTTTTTTAAAGTCAAACTTAATGCAAAGAAATCTATGATGAACAAAATATTAAAAAATATAATATTGTATATCAACTGTAACTGAAAAAAAGAAAATAATGCTGACCTGGGTACGTGAGTGTGAGAATGATAATCATCTGTTTGATAGAGCCATGAAGGACCAACATGTGACCCACAGTGTTAAGACTGTCCTTTGTTTTCAACAAATGGTCTCAGAGTCCCGTTGCCATCTCCTTTGGCTTCCTCACTGTCTGGTCAGCTGGAATCCACTCTTGGCTTGCTGTTTGCTTGAACTCTTGCTTTCCCTTCCATGAGTTACAGAGTTGCCTTTCTGACCATTCCTTCATTCTTCCAGTTTCTCTGTTGTCCTGTAAGGGGCACTCCGGTTCTTTGAAAAACCTCTTGTGTCCAAGATTTGGTGCCAAGTTGTTTAACCTTGGTTTTCCTGACCTTGGATTCCTCCAACAAAGACCTTTCTCTGAGGATCTCGAGATGACGTAGTGCTGCCAAAAGAAGCGCCTGCTTTAGGGTACACTCTCAGGTGATTTGCTCACTCAGAGTGCATTCACTGGTCCAGCCAGGTGACAAACCCAGGTGTACAACCTGAAGATTATATGCAAACACAAAGGCAAACAATGTTTAACTATAGATTAAATGAAGCAAGTTGAAAAGTCTAGGACATGTGAGTAGAGAGAACCTACTCACATTCTCTCCTCCTATGAGAGTAAGGGGTATTCACTGATTTATTATCACCATCATCAAATCCATATTTCAGATCCAATAATAATTGTTCTTTACTGCTTATTCACTATGTGCTAATTGCTGTGCTTACATTATCTCATTAACTCTTTACAACATTCCTTTGGGGTAGGCATGATTAGCCAATTTATGGATGAGGAAACACACTTAGGCTATTCCAGTTATCAATAGGAGATTCACTCAACAAATGTTTACAAAGTTCCTGCAGTGATTGAGGCTCTGTGCTAATATTTTTGGAGCCTAAAATAGACTCTGGCTGAGTTAAACAGAAAGGGATTCATAAAAAGATATTGACCAGCTCACAGAATCCTGAGTACATGTGGCTTTGTGAACAGGGACAAAGCCTACGGTCACATCACAGACCCAGTATGGTGAGGAAATGGTCGCCACTGACTCCACTGTTATGGGCATTGAAGGATACCATCAGCACCACCACCACTGCTATGGAGGGACTTGGTCCTGTTGGACCACCTCCAACAGAGAGGATCACTGATGTTCTTGCTGCTTTGCATCATTAGTTCTCCATTCAGGGCCTCATTTGAAGTATCTTCTTGGAAGAAGCTAAGTCACATGAACACATCCTAACTGCAAGGAAAGCTGGGTCATGAGTGTCTGGGAACTTCTACAGTAGGAAGTGGGTGGGGTTTCCAACCAAGACTCAAGTCTCAAAATATAGAAAGGGACTTCAGATGTTGGTACATCCAAAAGAATGACCAGTGACCACTCCATTGAGTCCTTGACCTTCAGGCACTTACAAACTAATAGGAGAGAATATGCACACAAATGACCGTGGTCTGTAAGATGTGCCACCCAAATGATGTGGACAAAGACTGCTTCTTGCGGGAAGAAGCAGGAGATCAATTCTGGCTGGAGATGACAGGACAGAGTCAAAGAAGGGATTGCATTTCTGCTGAGTCTTAATGAGTGGTACAATTTGGAAAGGTAACAGTGATGAGTGGGTCAAATAAAGAAAGACAATTCAAAGAATGAGGTACCCACGCAAAAAGTCCAAGGTGTGTTGGTAATGATGCATCCTCATTGTACTAAGTAGAGGACTAGAACGGGAAGTCTAATGCAGAGATCTAGACATGAGATGAGAAATCCTAGCCAAGATGTGTGGCCAGGCTGAAGGAAAAGAAGGAATAGACTTAAGAGTAATTATAGAAGAAGGATCAGCTGAACTTATTTCTCCCTTGAGCTCTTGACCTGGTTATAATTCCTTTTTTACATCTATGATGATTTGAGTAACATCTGTCTCCTCTATCATACAGATGCCCCATGAGGCAGGGCCCATGTCTGTGATTCCTCCCCATCACATACTCAAGGGCCTCCTTAGGGCCAGATCACAAAAGTTGCTCAGTAGATATTTATTGAGGGGAAAATAGGTTGATAAACAGACTGGTATATAATTAAATAGAGAAAAAGGGAATGGAGATTTAAAAAGATGAATCAGAGGTTTTGGTTATATAGAAGTCTTGTAGACATGTTGAATGTGAAGTTCAAAAGGGACATCTTAGGCAAAATTTTTTCAACCAGGTTTTGGAGACAAAAGGAGACATGATTTGTAGAATGAGGCAGCTAAGTCCGTTCCGTATCAATGGGCGATGGCTAACACATCTCAGGCATGCATGGCAATGATGACATACTACACGTGCAGTGCAGAACATTTGCATTGGGGAAAGTGACATTTGGATACTTTCACTTTTCCTGTGCCACTGTTCAGACATTCCCGTACTGGTACAAATATTCTGGATATTTCCAAGTGGTCTAAGTGGAGAGGCGTATTCCATCTGAACAGCTCCATCCGGCTCCCTGTCCTCCCACACGTGCCGTGTGACAGAGTAAGAGTGAACATCCAATCGGGCTGGGAGAAAAAAAGGGAATGTATGTCAAAGATGCAGCCCCAAGTCCCCCCGCCACCGGGTGCACCCCATGTCCTTAAGGAGGTCTCTCCACCAGGCTATATGTGAAAGTGTGCCTTGGTCTTATGCCATAATTCATATCAAGAGCTGATGAATTTTTCCTGTGAGCTTCTTAGTGTGTGTGTTTGCTTTTCAGTCTGAGGTCCAGTGACCCCAGCAGGCTTCGGTGGCTAATAGGAGTGCAGGACTTAAGGAGGCTTTCCACCAAACCCCCCTGGTCACAGCAGGATGTACTAGGGAACATTTTATAATTTAAGCTGCTTTAGCCAGAAAAGAAAACAGAACTGTTGCTTCCTTACAGTTAACTGTTCTCTTCCAATAATAGTAAAATTAAATGATGTATGTCCACTGTGTCTCCCCCAGATTCACTTAGAAAGAACAACTGAATCTGGGCTGCAGGGACCTCAGAAGAAACCAATTTATCCTGGCTAGCAAATAGGGGACATGGTTAAAAAGGGAAAACCAGTAGGTAGTGGATATTTGTGGCTTTGAGCTTACCAGCAGCCTTTATTTTTTACAAAAGACACATGCCTTTTGTTGGACAATCACACCACTCTGGTCTCAGTCCAGGCTACGAGGGTACCATGAGCCAGGAGAGTCTGTCTGTCTCTCTCTCTCTCTCTCCCCTCCCCCTCCTCCACCATGTGAAGATACAAGGAGCAGATGGTTGTCTGCAAACCAGAAAGAAGAAAGAAGGTCCTTACCAGACACTGGATCCATCATCCATCAGTGTCTTGATCTTGAACTTCTCAGCCTTCAGAACTGCGAGAAATGAATATCTTGTTTAAGCCACCAAGACTATGGTGTTCTGTTATAGCAGCCTAAATTCAGTAAGACAACAAGCTACTTTTGTATGAGAATTATCTGTGTATTTATGTGTGTCCCTCATTGAGCTAAGGACCCAGGGGACAAAGACTATATATAAATGTTCCCAGAGCACCTTTGGAATCATTTATGGAAATAAATCAACCTCAGTTCTGTCCATACAGAACTGAAGGTGCTAGATCCCCTAGAATAGATGGGCATGATGGAAAACTTCTGTTCAGAGAGTTTCTGCAACCTACCCAGGGTTTCACTTCATGGATAGCTGCTTTAGCCAGAAAATGGATAACTTCATGACATGTATCTCCATTTGCTCAAGTTTTTCATGAGACATCTCCTTCAGAACTAAAAGCAAAATGCTTTGCTTCTTGAGGAAAAGGTAACTTTCTCTTAGTGGACAATAACACTCGTATAAGTGATCATATTTTTTTTTTTTTTTTGCTTTGGCCACCAGGAAGCTCTGAGGGAAATTTACTGCTCAGTTATTATAATTGTGTAGGATTTTTTGTTGTATTGTACTCTTCTTCACTTGGTGTTGATTCTAGTTTATATCTCTCTGGCCCTGCTATTCAATTTTAAGTTTATGTTGTGATATGCATTCCTAATTGCTTGTCGAACAAGATGTGGGATATTGATAAGCCAATGCAGACTTATAATACGATTTTTTCAAGCATGAATGCATGAGATAACAGAGCTAAATGTCTAGAACAAGGGGCTATTTCAGTGATGGCAAACCTTTTGAGCTCAATGTGTCAGCTTTTTGAAAAACCCTAACTTAACTCTGGTGCCATGTCACATATAGAAATATTTTGATATTTGAAACCATAGTAAAACAAAGACTTATATTTTTGATATTTATTTTATATATTTAAATGCCATTTAACAAAGAAAAATCAACCAAAACAATGAGTTCGCGTGTCACCTCTGACGTGCATGTCGTAGGTTCGCCATCACTGGGCTATTTGTTTGGCTCTTATAACATGGAAAGCTTTGTTTTCCTACAGCATGATTCCTGCTCTGGAGATGGTACTGATGGTGAAAGCTCTTTGCTGAGCTTCTGACTAGCAATGAATTACTGAACCTTGAGAGGTTGTCTTCCGATATGCGATTAGCAAGCTCACTGCTCAACTCCACTTGGATTAATGGGTTAATGTTTAAAGTAATTTTGAGTATAAAACATTCTGGGTCACGCCTATCTTAGTTGCAGTGCTGATTCTCATGTTTTTAAAAATAATTTTAGAGAGAGAGGAATGGAGAGGGAGAGAGAGGGAGAGAGAAACATTGAGGCAAGACGGAACTATCAATGGCTGCCTCCAGCATGGTCCCTACCAGGGATTGTGTCCTTACTGGGAATTAAACCAGCAGCCTCAGTGCATGGATCGATGCCTAACTTCTGAGCCACTCTAGGCAGGGCTTGGTTATTGTATTTGTGACAGATCAGTGAGCATAAAGTCTTTCTGTTCTATGAAACCATTTCCCTTAGGAGTCTACTGATATTACCAGAAAAATAGGTGAGCCAGCTACCAGCAAAAAGTAACCCAAGCTAGACGTCAGAATATGACTCAGAGACACCAAATAAGGGGCATAGAAAGAGGTTGGGGGCAAGAATCTAGGACTTGCAAGGGACCATTAAGATTTCCAGGAGAGATTACGGAAACATCTGCAAGGTCAGGGCAGGAAGTCCAGAGAGGGAAGTGCCTTCCTTAGGACTCCTGTGAGAGCGCTGAGATATTATATAACCCAGGGCCAGGGAGGCCGATTAAAGACCAGCGAGTAAACTCCAAGAAGGACCAAGAGTCCCATCCACTCAAGTCCAAGTCCTTCAGCCACACCGAGGAGCGGACAAGCCTCGGGGCTCTGGGATCCGGTGAACTGCTTAGCCAGGCCAAGGTGGAGTTCACAATTAATTGCACAACAATAAAGAATCTGTGTTTGGGAAATCTCTAGACTGCCTTTGCTTCTGTTCCAGCCCAGGCTTTGCCAATCATGGCCCTGCAAAGGGCTAATCAAAGGACAAAACAAACAGGGTTGATTGCTGAGTTACAATCAAATAGTTGTGAAACTTTGCAATTTGGGTGCTTGGAAAATACAAGGCCTACAAAACCTCAGCTGCATGACAGCTAATTGGCCAGAAAAATACATCCAGGAGGGGCTTGAATGGCTTTGGGTATGAAAGGAATGTCTCCCTGCAGCTCCTTGGGGGTGTGGGGAGGTAGGACTGGGGTGGGGGCTGGACTACTGGGGACTCACATCAATCCCTGCCAGCTTGGCAAGAAGCCTGCAGCTTCCCTGTGTTGGCGCCCAGCACACAGCCAACCCTTCCTCAGGGCTGCAAACCCCGTCCACTGTTCCCCAGGAGAGAGCTCACCTTCAGCCTGGCCGTGCGGAATCCCCACGTCTGAGGCCCTCCCACATCAGCCCAGCATTGTTCAGCCTGTCAGATGGCCCAGCCTCCTCCGCGTTTTCTTTAAATAGTGGGAAAAAACAGTTGCTCTCTGGAAATACAAGGTTGCATCCAAATTTAAAAAAGAAAAATAAGAGAGGCAAGCATTCAAGCAAAACTCTTGGACTCGGGCTCCTGTGTTAACATACCGAATAAAGGAAAACAGGAAAACAATTGCAATAGTAAAAATAGATGACTTCCTGCGTGTAAATTGTGCGCTGACCTTGTTGATTGGCGCGTGGTCAGTGTTTGCTGGCCCGCCACCTCCTGCCTGCATGAGCGTGCATACCTAAGGGACAGTTCTCAGGGCTCAGCCATCTCTCGCTTCTATTTTAAAAGCATTTGTTTATAGATGTGTCTGCTGGCACCGAGAACTTTTTCTCCTGGATCTCAGTGCCTGTCAGAGATTGATTCCCTCATCTTTGGTTGCATTCCTGTGCGTCTACTGGAGGAGAATTTACTGAATATTGAGAACACCCTGGGACAGAGATGGTACCTGTGCATAGCACCACACACCTTGATGATGTCACACTGCCAGCACAGGGTGGAAGAATGGAGAAAACAACGCCTCGTCCTGCTGAGAGAACATTCATCCGCTCAATGAATGAGCACTTACACATGCCAGGCACCACCCTATGCACTGGTGAGCTTACACTGAGTGGCCAGATTATTATGACCACCCCATCAGTACTCCACTGACACTTCCAAAAATACTGAATATTGAAAACTTCCTAAGCAAATACTCTCAAGGTTTTATTATTATTGTTGTTGTTGTTATTATTTGCATAACTAATTCATTTCATTGTACTGATGGGGTGGTCATAATAATCTGGCCACTCAGTGTATATTCCTGATTGATAAAAGGCAAGGCAATAAGCATAGAAATAAGTAAATTACAGAGTCCGTTATAACACAGATGAATAGAAAAACAGAAAGCAGGGTAAGGGGGATTGGGCAGATGGGTGGTATTAAATAAGACAGAGCAGACCTGGATAAGAAAGCAACAGATAAGCAAAGACTTGATGTGAGGCAAGTAGCCAAGCAGATACCTCCAGAAAGTGCCCAGGCTGACACAGCAGCCCGAGCAGAGGCCCTGAGGCAGGGCCATTACGATTAGCCGTATGAGACTTGGTTTTCCTCTCTTTCTCTGTCGGAGGCCTCTCCTGGGCAACAGAGGGGATGACATTCCAGTAGCAGAAACAGTGATGAGAATGGTTCCAACAGGGGTAGCTCTTTGGAACTGGGGCGGGCTGGGTGAAAAGGAGAGGTAAAAGATTAAAAAATAAATAAATAAATAAATAAATAAATAAAAAGAGCACATTCCAGGATTCCACTCCCTGAGTGGAGAGTAAGAGCTGGAATCTAAAGGGCACACCCAAAACAAGTCAGCAGGAGAGCAGGAGCCGTGACCTCGTGTTTTCGTTCCCCGCACAGTTATGAGCATGGCTCGGTGCCTTCTGAAGCACTCGTGGAATTTGGCCTGGGATCACAGAATTTTAGGACTGGATTGTTCCTTCCTGGCCATGCTTGTTCCCTCCTAATCCCCTTCCCTGCGTCGCCTTGGTCACTGGAATTCTCTTAACCATTTTCTGTTTAGGGCCACCCCAGGATAATCTACACCTCTCAGGACTGCCCCCCTCTTCTCTCCAACAAGCAGATTAATTTACTGTGATCCAAGGTCCTGGGGGGAATGCACACCTCTGCTTAAAGAGGGATCGCAGTGGCCAGGGCCTGGGGACTCAGGTATTTATCAAAAAGCATTTGATTTTCTCTCAGAGCTATTCCGGTTCCAGGATGAGAGAGAGAGAGAGGTGAAGCTAGAAGCATGTGTATTTAAAACCATTCTAGCCCTGACTGGTTTAGCTCAGTGGATAGAGTGTCAACCTGCGGACTGAAGGGTCCCGGGTTCGATTCCAGTCAAGGGCATGTAGCTTGGTTGTGGGCACATCCCCAGTAGGGGGTGTGCATGAGGCAGCTGATCGATGTTTCTCTCTCATCGGTGTTTCTAACTCTCTATCCCTCTCCCTCCTTCTCTGTAAAAAATCAATAATATATATTTTTTTAAAAAAATAAAACCATTCTAGCCACCCACTGTTCTTGGGAGAAAGACAACACTCTAACCCACGTCATGCCTCTGTAGTCTGTGTTTCCGGAGTCCTCCTCCTTGTTAACTGAGCACTTGGCATTTCTCGGCGGGGCCCTGCTTTCTCCTGCCTCCAGGGATGTGGACCTGCTGTCCTGGAAGGCTATTCCAGCCCCCTCTTCACCTCGCATAAGCCTGCTCATCCTTCAAGTCCCAGCTTAGTCAGTCCTTCCTCAGGGAAGGGTTTCCTAACCCTTAAACTAGATTGTGCCACTGTCTCAGAACTTAGCATGACACCTGGCACAGAGTGAGTGCTCCATAAATATTACTGCTTCATTAATGCATCTGATTGATGAATGGATGAACTTTGCACAGAAAGAGAAGCTAAGGTCAATGTGAAATTTGTTTTAAATTGCGGACCAGGATATCAAAAGTTTCTACCACAAAGAGAATCAAAGACAAGGAATTCTTTAAGGTCTGACGCACTGTTCAGGCGCGGCCAACCAGGTCAGTCTCCAGAGAAAGCCATGGGGATCTGTCCTAGGGCGTCCGCCCTTTGGCTGAGTTAGCCCAGTTAGCTGAGACTGAAAACAAGCTGGATCCCTCTCCCCCACACCCCCTACCCCCCAGGCAGAGGTGGTAATGCAAGGGAAAGGGACTGACCAAGAAAACTAAGCACACCCAGCTGGAGGAGCAAATAAACTAAATTACAACAACATAATGTCAACATTTTGCTGCCTTAATCCACTGCTGGTGACCTTGGGCCAGTCACTTAACTTTCTGAATCATACTTTTTTGTCCAAAAAAAGTAAACTGGGGACACTGAAAGATAAAAGGGTCTTAGCCAAGTCTATGTATGACCAAAGGTTCCACACAATAGTAGTAGTATTAATGATCACCGATGCTATCCCCAGCTGTTCCCCAGTATGATTTTATTAGTCCCACTGATGTTTCCTGATTCGTTTCCATTCAGGAAGCTTTGAAATAATGGTTAGCAGAGGGACACATTGCAAAAATAAAAATTCTCACTCTTTTAACTTTTCCATCCACTTTAATCCCACTGCCCATCCTTCCTCTCCCCAGCTTCATCTGGACCCCTGCCATTCCTGTGATCAATCGTGCACTGGAGAGAACCTTCCCCGTTGCAGGGGTGGGAGGGCTGGGAGGGCTGGGGCAGGGGATCTCTGGCCCCGCATGCCTGTGAGTGTGATGTCCTTTTGTGGTGCCCTCAAAAACAGAAGTGAGGAAACAGGCCATCATTTATCATGTGGCTTTGTAATGGATGCTGATAATGCAAAACAGCCAGGCTGCTCTGGAGGTCGCTCCAGTGAAGTACCAAGTCAGTTGTTGGGAGCCAAGTCGGAAAGGGAGGTTCCCTGTGTGGCATGCCCTCCTGCTAGGGATCTCCCTGTGCTAACAACTGTCCACTTGGGAAGAGAGCCTGCCATCTGCCCTCTGGAAGGCACACGACCTCCTGCCTTACGTAGATTGACAGTTTGGGTCCTCTAGGGCAGTGGTTCTCAACCCTCCTAATGCCGCGACCCTTTAATACAGTTCCTCATGTTGTGGTGACCCCAACCATAAAGTTATTTTCGTTGCTACTTCATAACTGAAATTTTGCTACTGTTATGAATCATAATGTAAATATCTGATATGCAGGATGTATTTTCATTGTTACAAATTGAACATAATTAAAGCACAGTGATTAATCACAAAAACAACATGTAATTATATATGTGTTTTCCGATGGTCTTAGGCGATCCCTGTGAAAGGGTTGTTCGACCCCTGAAAGGGTCGCGACCCGCAGGTTGAGAACCGCTGCTCTAGGGGGAGCTGAAGACTTGTCCCCATTCCAGACACTCACTCCCCCCTCCCCAAGTCCTTCCCAAGCCAGTCACACTATTGGAGGCAGGTGCAAGAGGGTGGAGCTCTTGGTGTGATGGTGTCTGCTGGCCTTGAGCCAATCACTGTGGCAGAGGAAATGTAGCATTCTGGTTGGCCAGGCCTAGGTCATCTGCCCACTCTTGGTTGGGGCGAGACAACCTCAGCCATACTCACAGCACAATGAGGCATGTTTCCGGAAGTGAAGGAAAGCGAAGTGTGATGGGCACTATCCTGACAATGGCATGATGTCTTCTGTTTCTCTACATTCCCATGCCTTTGCCTAAAGGAAGCATCAATCACTATGCATTTGTTGGCAAGAAAATACCTGAATCCACAAATGAACACATGATAAAAGCTATGGAAAGGTAGAGTTCCATGGAAGCACTTTTGAAAAAGGGGCCTTTCCCCCAAGAGGAACCCGCCTAAGAAGATGCCAAGCCAAGAGAATGACATTGCTAAAATAATGATTGGTCCAGCCTCAGACCCACTTAGCCATACTCTCCTTCTGACCTTTGCTGCTCTTTTCAATGTCACAATGGCCCCCATGTTTCTACATCTTGGGCTCATTTCTCAGACCTCATCTGACTTGCCCTCTTAGCAGCATTTGACCCAGTTGATAGTGTTCTTCTCCTTGAAACCCTTTCTTTCCTTGGCTTTTAGAATATCACACTCACTTTGTTTTCTTCCTACCTCACTGGCCATGCCTTTTGGATTTTTTTGCTGGTTCTCCTCATCCCTGCAATTTCTGAATGTTCAGTGATGAGTACTTGGCCTTCTTCTTTGCTGTCTAGCTTACTCCCTAGGTGATCTCATCCAGTTTATGGCTTTAATCCACCCATGTGCTATGGTCCAACTTGTTTGTGTCTAGCATTTACTAAACCCCAGATCTTATGTTTCTACTTGAATATTTAATAGACATCTCCAAACTATCCCTTCTAAAACTGAACCCTTGATAGCTCTTCTTCCACTACTACCAAAAAGGAAGTTCCACCAGAGATCCAGTCACTCCAGCAAAAATCCATAATTTTGTTCTTGATTTCTCTCTCTTATACTCCACATCTTGTCCATCAGAAAATTCTATAGGCTCTTTATTTAAAATATATTCAAAATTGAATACCATCTCCACTGCTACCCCCCTACTCTTAACAGGTCTCCCTGCTTCTGCCTTTGTCTCCTATCCATTCTCATCCTCATGGCGCATTCTGAATATGCTAGCCACACTAACCCA